AAGCAAGTCAAAAGTCGAAACTTGTATCTGCCATGTTGAAGCGCCTCATGATATATATATATAAAAAAGTATAGATAGATAAGTGTGTGTGTGTGTGTGTATGCGTGCGCGCGTTTGTGAACTGACTTACAAAAAAAAAAATGGCTTGGTGAGTAGGTGTACATGCCTCTTATACCCAAAGTTAGATGAAATAGGCACCACCTCACCTGAGCCCCGTGTGATGGATGACAAGCGACATCGAAAATGGATGTAATGTGTGAAATGTAATCGAAAGAGCTGTCTGTAAAATTCAGATGAGATTTCAAGATCATTTCATATGCATTCTTTGAAACTGTTGGTGACTTAACAATAGGTCTATGACAATATTTTATAGCACACCCAATGACCATTTGTCAAACTCTGGTGGAATTCACTCAGTTCTGACTCTCGCCTTTGGGCTAAATTTTGTTATATTAAACCGGGTACCTTGTTACCTCGGACTGTTTTTTTTCCTTTCTTTTTTTTTAATCACACCCTTGGAGACCGAGAGTAATTTCCTTCTCTTTTATGTTAGAGTATGGCTTTTGTGACCGTAACACCTGTGGTGACTATTTTTCAAAAAAAGTGACTCGCAGAAGCTGTTTATCCCTCAACATCCAGATTTCAACCAGACTCCAACCACCACGGAGTGGGAACTAAAACCACATTATTACATGAGTGAATCCCTCAACAGTGACATATTGTCACATTTAATTGTGCAGAATGACCAACAAGTTTGGTGTCTTTTCAGCGGTCCTGTTTGGTGTGTTTCCCAAAATCAAATTATGCTGTCGTTTAAGCTCCGAGTCATGTGGGGATCAGGCTTGGTTTAATCCTCCAGAGAGAGAAAGAGCGTGCGGCTGCATTTGTGTGAGAGAGAGAGGGAGAGAGCGAGAGAGAGAGAGAAAGAGAGAGAGAGACAGAGGGAGGTCTGTTTGTGTTTGTCCATGTCTAACTCCGCTTAAGGTGCAGTGCACTTTTTAGTTTTCAACAGGGAAAGACTTGACCACTGCTCCTGAATTTCAATGCCTAAATATTAGCGGAGGTCTCATTATTTGGAGTTTTTAAACACTGACTTGTCGTCCAAAAGGTATTTCGTATTGCACCTTGAAACTCTGGATTGACCAGAACCTTATCACACCTGGCTTGAAAGGTACCTTAAATCAAGCTTTTACTCACCTTTTGGAACTATAATTTTAGTTTGATACATTTTTCCATTTAATTTGAGCTACATCTTAGTTTTGCATTTTATGATTTTAAATCTGGAATATTGTATTCATTTTAGGATCACTCGGATACTCAGTATTTAGATGAACTTGTAAACTGAAAATTGTTTTTTGTATTTTTGCAATCCGATTTTTTCCCTCTGGAATTCTGAACACCTTCGACAGAACTATATTCCAAGCAGTCGGCCATTCAGCCCTTTGTACTTTTCCGATGGCTCAGTCAGACGTCTGGCCAAATCCGGACCTATCAAACTCCACTTTAGTCCACAGCCCCGTCACTTTTTCTTCAGATGCAACTAACCAAAGAGGGGAAAACGATGGGGACGGACAAGAAGAAAACGAAGAGGTCGAACTTGCTGAAGAGGTCGGGGAGGACATTTTGTTAATGGCCGAGGGAACAGATGGACGAGTTGAAAAAGAAAGCGCAGATCCAGGTGACCAGGAAGAAATGGGAATTCTCTCAATGGCCCTGTTACCAAACGAAACGACAGGGGAAGAAGAGGAAGGTCGGGAGAAACGGGAGGAGTGTGGAGTGGCAGGAGAAAATGAACGGCCCGATTTAACGGATGGACAGACGAAAAAAGTGAGCAGCTTCAAAGAGGAGGCTGCGCCAACAGGGGCCTGGAATTCGTGCCACATCTCAGCAGCAGCGATGCAACTAGAAGATGACGACGACGAAGAAGGTAATAAAACAGACAAAAATGCTCAGCATTCGAACAGTGTTGAAAGTACAGAGCTACCAGTGGAAGATTTAGAAGAAGCAATTGGGAGTTATGTCGAGACCGGTGACAGCATTCCGGTTTTGCAAAGTGAAACGGAGCACGTAGATTGGGAGGAATCGGCAACCGGGGGGATTATCCAGGAACAAGAACGCTCAAGTGACACCGAGACGGTGACTGCTGACAACCAGAATGACTTTTCAACTACTTTAAAAGTTGAGAAAAGCAAACATCATGCGAGTGAAGACGGAAGAGACGAGGATAACGCGACTGAGGAAGAGATTGAGAAAGAGAGTAAAATCCAGCATGAAGACCAGTTCACCAGAATCCAAAACCCGCGTCACAGTCCAAGAATGGTTGAAGACGAGAATGGGCGACACAAGGAAGAAAATAAGGAAAACGGAATATGGGAGGAACCCATCGGGAGCAAAGAGATCATCCGGCAAGAGGAAAAGTCTGACGAAACAAACAAAGAGGCACAAGTTCCGGTTTATCTTTCAACAATGGACAAAGACAGAAATGGCAGTCAAAAAAACGAAGAGCACAGAGAGCGAGAAGAACCGATTGGGATTGAGAGCCAATCACAAGGAGAGCAGCAAAGATCACGTGACATCAACATGGTGAGCGAAGGTCTGGCGAGTCACCACACAACACCGGACGATGACGAAGATGAAAATGCCACAAGTGCAGACCAAAACGCTCATGAGATAGGGGAAACGAGCGTCGATGTGATGCAGGAAGAAGAACACCAGATAACACCGAGCCCGGAGGAAGCCGTTCACGGTATTCAAGCCGCAATCACCACGGCGC